AGTCCGAATCTATAGTTTTTAGAATTTTTGTCTGTCTGTCTGTTACCGCATCGCGAGAAAACTACTGGACGGATTTTGATAAAATTTGGTATGATGATAGCTGGTTATCCGGGTCAACATATAGGATACTTTTACCGCGGGAAAATATCTCATTTCTGAGAAATAAATACAAAACTGCATTGTAAGAGTATACTAATATGTGAAACCTAAGAATTTGGTTTTTGGTCATCTGAACGCGGACGGACGCAAACGCGGACAGTGCTAGTTTTAAGTAAGAACCAAGAATCAAAATAATTTCGCGAAGTAATCCGAAAAGAACTTCCTTATTAAATTTTTTCTGCACAGAAAACTCACTTATGTGGATGGGAACTGTACATATGTTCAATCCGAAAATTGAACTTGCGACACAGGGTTTGTTTAATAGATACTCTACCATGCCATAGGTGAGTCTTTATTTCTGACTCTCCTAAACGTAGCAACTGTATTCCGAGTGAGTCATATAATAAACAAAGGTCACGCTTTCGGTCATATATTTGCAAAGTCATTATATAATGACGACCATTAATTACAAGTTAAGGGGCACTTAACATTTTATCTTGTCATCTAAACGGTCAGTGAAAAGATCGACCTGTGTTGAGCTCGCACTCCACTAAGAGTTTGCAGGAGAATTTATTTAACTTATTGTATTATACTTTACTAACGACTTATTCTCCCTATTTATGAATATAACTAGCAACTCATCCTATCTTCGCTCGGATTCGTTCCTAGGTGATTCTTTAAGCTTACATAACTTTTGTTATTTATGAACCGATTGAAATAAAACAAATAATAAATATTAAGTGAAGCTTACCACAATACAATTGTGAAAACCGCTCGAAAACGCACAAACAGACAAATATTCTAAAAAGCATTGTTTTGGGTTCTATTGCGGTAATAAAGACCCCCAATAATGTACTAGTAGCGTCATCTTTTGGCAAATTTTATTACTTACAGTATGTGTTACGCCAGTGTAATAAATTTCATCTAAATCCGTCCAACAGTTTTAGCGTGAAGCGTGTAGTAATATTATTATTAATAATAGTAGTGCAATTGTTAAAGTAAAGTCGTTACTTATGTGTTTTATTTACAATACATTATAACAACATAACGGACAGAAAGTGACAAACAAACTAAATATGCTTATTCTAAGGAAACTTCAACTTGCCAATCGAACTTTATTACTAGATATTGCTGCAATAAATATACATATATATCATATTGTAACCATTGATCTAAGAATGGAAAACCACGCACTTGGTCTGTATGTAGTTCACTCTTAAACATTTTTGTGCCTAGTGTTTTTTTTTAATTTATCCTTTAATTAAGGTTAGCTGGAGGTATCTCAAATTCTTTATTGAATATTGAAATGTTCGCTACATTTTAAAACGTACTTTTTTTTTCATAATTTTCTGTATGTTATACAGCGATGAGATATGTATTTATATAAATCAATATCTACAATATAATAAAATTCTGAGTCGAATCTGTACATTAAATATTTTTTAGAAAATCTTATTGAAATAGTCATTATTACCGATACAGAGGCCGAAACTATAGTTTTAAGAATTTTTGTCTGTCTGTCTGGGAACGCATCACGAGAAAACCGCTGGGAAGATTTTGAAGAAATTTGGTATGAAGATAGCTAGTTATCCGTGTCAACATATAGGATACTATTTACAGCGGGAAAATATCTCATCTCTAAGAAGTCTATACTAAACGTTAAAACTCCAAACGTATAATACCTATATATAGTTTTATAATAATGTATAGAAGTCTGCCCGATTTGTTGACGTTTATGATTACTGCTCCGTTCCCTTGGATAGTAGCATGATGATGCTACTACCTAATACTATGCTATGAGTCTTCGTCAATAAACGGGCTATCTAATGCAAAAATATTTTTTCAAATCGGATTAGTAGTTCCTGAGATAAGCGCACACAAACAAACAAACTTGGTTTATTTATAATATTAGTTTAGATTATGCTATACTGTGTGTGTGAACCTATAACCCCTATAAAATAAAGTGGACAAAGGGTAGCTCAGTGATAATGTGAAAATAAGTAAAGAGAGTTCAAATCCCGGGTTTCACATCTCAGATATTTTTATGTGCGAATTATTCTCATTATGATTACCACTTGCTGAACGACGAAGGAAAACATCGTGACCAAACTTGCACGTCTAAGAGAACTTATCAAGAATTTTCGGAAGATATGTGAAGTCTATCGCCTGATCTCTCTTGAAGAGACGCCCCCATGCCTAGCAATGAGACATTAAAAAAGGGCTTAATATTAAGTCTTACCAAAGCGTAAAGCTAAATTCGTCAAATAAAGTCGTAATTTTTATTTCAATTAATTGTTCCACGGTTAATATCCAATCAGCACTTAAAATGATAGGCAAGCATCTGCGAGCCATACACGGTGCATACATCTGTAATCGAAAAAAATCTTAATTAAAATGCAAGTAGGTACAAAGTTATACAAATTAACAATATGAATATGTAAGCTTATGTAAAGACTACTAGTTAATGCACATTTTTCTTATAAAAACCACTGTTTCATGTTAAACATTATTTTATCGTTTCTTGCAGTTTTTAAATAGCTTTAATTAAAAATTATACAGCATTTTTAGTTTTTTTAGTCGTCATATTTCTATGAATTGAGATAAATAGGAAAGGTATTTGCATTATTAATGCATTGTCCACAATATATTACAGGAATATACTAAGTACTCCAGTTTTTTCTTTCACTTCTTTATATGGAATATGCGGTCTTATCTTTAAATATTATAATGTATACTTAGTAATGTAAAGTTTGATCATACTGAGCGTATTTAAAATTAAAGGGTTTTGTTTGGAAAAAAGTTAACTATCTTAGTTAATAAACATAGTTATAAATATTAGATAGTAAAAAATATAATAAATTCTAAAACAATAAAATTGGATTAACAAGTTATGATTAGGTATATGATATTGGTAACGGCAAACATGACGCTCTGATCTCGTATTATAACTTATTTAGCAGATTTCAAACGTTTTATTTAACATTTTCATTATAAAACTTTGCCATTGGACACTTTAGGAACTTAACACATCAGCCACCTGCGGACGAATAGCAAAAGTATTTTTGACTCAATAGTTTTATAAATAAATGAATATGTCGGGTCATTAACACATAGCACTATCTAGTTCCATGGTAAGTTACGAGGCTTGTATTATGGGTACCAGATAGTTGGATACACTACGCATACTCGACACAGACTCGAACCCGCTGGCACAGCAAGTAGGGTCACTCCAAACTGAGCCAAACGTGTTGTCAAAATGATGATGAAAACTATTTCTGGCTAAGTTTATTTTATTTTGAATTCTCAAAAGCACTTTTGATTGATCTTTCTTTCTATTGAAAGCGAACTGAAGTAAGTGATATATTTTTTTGCCAATCTTGCATTTTAATATGTTTTCTTTTTACTATAACACGCCCATACACTAGCCTTATCACAATTTACTAAATAAATTACTTATCATTCATTACATACCACTAACAATGGCTACTCAATAGGCCGTTAAGCTAAATGGTCATCTAAAAATCTATCGTACCCTTGTCTAGGGGTAAACACGTCCGAGTGGGGTAAACTGATTCCCTCTATCCAATTACTGCCCTATAGAAGATATTGGGGCACTATTGTAGTAACGTACGATTTCAGTCGAACATGAAATACAAAATTTTTGTTCAAAAACTTAGTATCAATATCTTTTATGTTTTTAAATATTAATAGCTGTATTCATTTGATAATAATATTTAATTGCAATTCCTTAAAAAGTTGAAATATGATTATTATTATTGATTCAGAAATGTTAAAATTAGTTACGAAATCATTTAGTTAAAGGAAACATCCTAGTTTAATAAATAAAATTTACCAAACAAATAAAGCTAAAATACTACTGCTTTTATCGAACCAATTTAAATATAATTATCGCACGCTATAATAATAGCATCCCAACTATCACTAAGGTGTCGAGATTTCAACGCTTCATTGGGCCTTTAGCGAGAGGAAATTCGTTCCGAATTAATGATAGCGGAAACATCTCGATTTGTTATATTCTTTATTATCTTTAATATTGTTTGGGGAACCCTGGAGTGGAATTAATCGCTATTTTTCTGGTATTCTATTTTCTACTGAATGATTTTTATTATTATACTATATCGTAAATGAGATATGAGGATGTTAAATGCGTGATTTAGTTAGTAGTTTAATCAGGTACATGTATATGTATTTATAATGATCTTAGCCTTAAAGCGGTTTAAAACTGCGATTGCTTATAAGCTTTTACCAATGTAAAAAAATAAATTAGGTGTTTTTAAATTAAATGGTACCGTACCTATATGATCAAATGGAAGATAGGAGAGTACGAGTATGTTATGCGTCTGATTACACTCGAGTGGAGATGCGAGATCTGCGAGTAAAAGGTATTCAAAAATAAAATGTATACAGATTAATAAATCACCTATATAACGGAGTTACGTGAATATAAAATGCGGCTTCGATCCTCGCATTATACTAAACGAGTTCATGCCTGTGACTTCACCCAAGAGGTAGTGGAAATAAATCTTTATCCAAGATATGTGTTTATTCCAAATTTTACTCAAATTTATTGACTCATTTCAGCTTGAACAGTCGCTAGGCAGAAAAAACATTTTTGTAAAAAATTAACAATTTTATACTTTTGTTTTTAATTTTAACTTTGTTATGTGTTCGGTCTATTTAACAAAGCATGAAATAAGTTATCGCCGTTAAAAAGCTATCTCGATTTAGACAAAAAACAAAGCGTTAAAAATAAATATGCATAGACTAAGTATATCTAGGTAGGTACAATTATAGTTTACACTGTATAGATTATAGAATTTGTACTTATTGTTAAATGAATAAAATACCTAAAATTTCTAATATATCATTTTTTGTTTAAGGAGAAGTCCGGCGAGCCTTATTCCGGTAAACTATCGGTGAAGTCGGATCTAAGTCCTGTATTTGGTAAGTACTAAAAATAACTATAAGATAAAATATACAAAAATGATTTTATTTTGTTAACACTGGACTAAAGTTAATAAATTACCATTTCAATTGTCGAAACGTAAACTGGTTCCTTATCCCGCGCAGGCGCAGGTAACATCTTTTCGGAATTAAAAGGCTCGTGCATATCAGTATAAAAGTTAGTAGATATTGTACAGATGCTGCTAAATCTTTTAAAAACATTAGCTCTAAATAGATTTACAATTCAACTTCGTCAAGTCATTTGAATAAATTAACTTTAAATATACATGAATGTTTTTTAATAAAAAAATCTTTACTTTGAAATGGTCACAAAAACTAACATGCATAAGGTATGTCCGTATTGTTGTAAATTAGACTACCAATTGCGAGAATCTGCGATAAGACTGAGAATAAAAATAATAAATTTAAACCAGTTTGAGGCAATGCCCTTGTTTAATTCAAGTTTGTAACTGAATGAAATGTGAAGAAACTGGCATACTCACAATTACATATATACCATTAGTTAGGAATAGCACGTCCACATTGTTTTACTTCTTTAAATATACCTATACTAGCGGCTCACCCTCGCTTCACTCGGGTTCGCCTCTAGAAAAATAAAAACAAATCTATCCCACGGGAACCGTATATTTTTCCGGGATAAAAAGTAGCCTATATGTTATTCCAGAGTATAATCAATCTCTGTGCCAAATTTGTCCAGATCCGTTGAGCTATTCTGGCGTGAAAAAGTAACAAACATCCATACATACTCAGAAATTTTCACATTTATAATATTTATACAGATGTGTTGTAAAATTGAAATGGGTACAAAAAATAAAAATCGATCGACTTGTTTTATTCTATAGAAATTATGGTCTTAGAGAGTGATTTAGGCTAGTTTTTAGTACTGTAGATCAAGAGGTTCTCCTAGTTTCGTAAGTTAGACTAAGTAGGAAGTAGGGGCTATTCATAGTATTATATACTTGAAAAATACACGCCTAATACACGTTTGAATAGATTATATTAAAACTGAAATTGAAAGTAGTAGTAAATAAGAGTTAATATTTTATTTGTAATTTCATAATACAAATTGATATAATTAACTTACAATGACAACTAGAAAACATCTTGGTATTTTAGTTGATAACAATATTTGGGTCATAAGAACGGGAATTGATAGATAAAAATGATCAATTTGTATGAACTGCATGTTTGTAATTGTTCTAAAACTGCCTCGGTGGTGTAGTGGCTAGCATGTACGGCTGCACACTCGGAGGTCCTGGGTTCGAGTCCCGGGTCGGGCCAAGTTTAGTTATTGAGTCTTTCTGTATAGTAAGTCTCAGTAACAGCCCGGAGTTGGGAAGTTGGTGGTGTTTCACCCCCGTGCCTCGGAGAGCACGTAAAGCCGTCGGTCCTGCGCCTTTACTCTCACTGGTCGTGTCGAGCAGTCGTCCCACCGGAGTATGAGAGTGACAGGAATAGAGAGTGCACGTTGTGTCTGCGCGTATACTTGTGCACTATAATATCTCCTGCGCAGTTGGCTAGTCTCAATGAGATTGGCCGCCGTGGCCGGAATCGGCCAGGAGAATCATTAATTGTTCTAAATTAGATTTGTACACATTTGAAATTCATGTTTTTTCTACAATTCACTTTGTTTCTATTCTGTACTGTATGTATGTATTATTGTAATGGCTTACAAAGAAAGAAACAAATGGATGTAAAATTTAAATGTGCAGGTGATTTTGAGGAAAAGGGCTGTTAAATTTTTAATATTAGGTCACCCGTCAAAAAATTAATAATAAGGCACAATTAAATTGTAAATTATCATTTAAATGCTCATTCATCACGACAAAAATAATGCCATATAATTTTATGAAATCACATACAAGAATCAACGTGATTTCGATAAAAATTCGACTTTCCAATATGTCTTCGAGTGATTGAGCACAAAGGATAAAAAAACTTCCCTTCGCTGACATTTTTGTAAATCCTTCTCTTTTTATGGACATTTTGATAACAATTATTTTGTCACTATGAATCAATTGATTAACGCAGTGGTTATGTGCTTATTTATTAAAGAGATTGTAGGTTTGGTTTTCATTTTGCGCATATATTCGATATAGAGTTGTAAATCATGAATGAGAACATCGAAAGTAGACAAATTTACATGAAAAGTATATAATAAGGATAATAAAGTTATTTAAGGTTTATTACACCTTAAATAAAGCAGGTGGATATGAAGATTTTATGAAAAAAAAGTATCAAACCAACTTTGTTTAGTCGTTAAATAAGTGTCTTCATTATACTACATTGTAGATTGCAATATTAATATTGTTTTATGGAGCGTTCGGTTTTTCTTATAAATTTTATATTAACAATGTAATTAAACATGTAATTAATATTAAATTTCTTTGACTATATGAGGAAAAAATAATTTAAGTGCTTTCACTTTAAGCTTAAATCCAAAAGGATAAAAAGTTAGATGAATCATCAATAGTAAATCGAATGTAAAATTGTTTTCAATAGATTCGAAGGTGGGAATTATCGTCCTGGTAATGCGGCCCATGGAGACCATTATGTGAGAATTATGTGTATTTTATCGCCAGCTTATAATCATCTGTCACTATCGTTACAATATTTTCGTATAATTTCATCTGACTCCACCTCTAGCTAGTGCTCGTCGATATTGATTTGAGAATTATCGATTTTAAATATAATATTTTCTTTAATGTTTTTTTGTCTTAATTTCAATAAGGCGGAATAACGAATTATTGCTATAGTTTGTGGACCTTTGACGTGTGTGTATGTTTGTGACTCTTTCACGCTGATACCATTGAACGGATTTAAATGATATTTATTACACAGACAGACGCGAAGTAATAAATATCTTTACGCAATCGTAAAATTATCATGTTATTTTGCAAATATTACATTAAACATAAATATAAATCATTAAAACTTATAATTGAATAATAAAAACAGGTCTGTAATAAAACATAACTTTTATTTAATGTTATATATGATACTTTTTATTAGAAGTCCATCTATATCAAACATTTCTATCGATAGTCCTCCATCACTAGCGCGCCCGTACGCCTCGTTATTTGTTGTTATTAGTGTCGTTTTTTGTTATTTTACCACGGGATGTTTTCGAGGAACCGGTTCTCTAATCTGATCAGATCGCCACGACTCTGGGCGAAGAAAAAAAAGTATAAACCAAGTGATGTACAAAGAGTATTGGGAAGTATTTTATGGGAACCAAGAAGCTCCGGCCGTTAACAAGTTTTAAACTTTGGTAGGTATTGATCAATATACATAAATAATGATTAGTTTGTACGCTTGCCAGCAATAGATAAAGATAGTAATACAAATGCCAATATTTTATTATATTTTATGTACAGTAATTATATAATATAGATCATAAACTATTTCATTAATTATATTAAAGTACATGGGCGACCTAGCTTCGCTCGACGTAGTACCTAGTATACTCGTAGTAGTTCGCGTAGTTATAAAAAGATTTTATTTTTTTGTAATAAAAAAAACGTCTTTTTTTTCTGTAAAAAATGTTTTCTCAGAAAAGACACCTGCCTATATAGATAAATATGTAGTAAAAACTTTCTGAACCCAATCCAAATCGTTATAGCCGTTTCCGAGACACAGAAAATTTTATACATATAAGTATTATATACAAGAATTGCGCATTTAATATTATAAGATAAAGGTTTTATTATTTCCCAGAAGTTATCTCTAGTACCTAATGTACAAGGATTTATTTAAAAACTTTGAAAATCACGCTCTATGGATACATATTAAACAATTTACTTTTTGCTTTAAACATCAATGATATATAATCAATTAAAGTTGCAGTGCACACAAATAAAAAATAGTCTAAATATTTCATATAGACAAAAAACTTAAACATATTAAATATCAAGAAGCACGATCGATCAAAATCCATCCATAGGTCGATAAATAAATGATCTGTGAAGCCCATAACGAGTCTATAAACACGTTTTACTTGAGGAAACACAAGAAATAAATAAACCGCCAAGAAAGCAGTAATTATACTAAAAACTTTTAATAAATATAGAATCCATTCATTCTCTCTTGAAAACTAGTTGTGAATTATTTTTGAAGCTCGATTAATTTAATTTACACTTTACGTCTAAACGCTTCATTTATCACTCAGTATAATCTACTATGTTAATGTTCCGGATTACGAGTGTAGAACACATTTTTTTGTCAACTTTTTAATGGCAAGTTTGATGTCCACTATCTAATGTTATGAAAGGTTGTCAATCTATCAGATATATATATTTATTTTCTTGCTATTTTAAACCTCAACTATTTTATCTAAATGCATGCGTTAAATCTAACCTACAGAATGACAACATAAATATAAGTATTTGACTAAAATCGATGGACTATCACTAATGCTTGTTATGTTAGGCTTCACACTTGTCCAAAGAAGAAGCAACATTAGTTTTCTTCAGACGCGTATCCGATCCATAATTCCACGTTCGAGCACAATCGTTAAAATGAGCCACGTTATTCATCCCACTCTGCCAATCCTGCTTTGATACTTTCCTCTCGCGAACATTTGCTATTCATTTCCAGTCCTGGCTACCTGTTGTTTTATGTCATTATATCGAAGTTCTAATTGGAACTTGATACGCGTTCACAATTAAGCGGCGTCGTTAGATTAACGAGCTTTTTACACTATCAACCAAGTGACACGACAGATAGATAAGCATATATTATATATAATTTCTTATTAATAGAAAGTAATTGGTGTAATCAACATTAAGTTGCATCGTTACGCTTATGCAAATTCAATTGTTTTTTGTTTCGCCATTTATGGTTTGCGTATTTAATGTCAGTCGTTCCTCAAAAGGAAGTTTTTTGTACTGACATTTAGTATGTTTCAAATGCCGTCACCTGTTTTATTAAGAATTATCTTGTTTTTTTTTAAGTAGAATCCTGGTAAAATGTGCTAACCA